CTTAACGCGGCCAAGCATCCAGTAAGCTTCTGGACGTCGTGCACACGCACAAGGCGTTTCATTCGGAGTATGGTGCCAACTTTTTCTGGGTTAGCATCGATTCCTCGTTCTAAAACGAGAAAACCGAGTAACTTTCCGCCAGGTACTCCGAATGTGCACTTTGATGGATTGAGCTTGATATCATACCTCTTGAGATTGGCAAATATTTCAGCTAGGTCAGTCAACAAGTCGAAACCCTTTCGTGACTTGACCACGATATCATCCATGTACGCTTCCACATTCCGACTGATTTGAGTGAGTAAACACTTTTGAATCATTCTCATGAACGTGGCTCTGGCATTCTTGAGACCGAATGGCATGGTGATATAGCAGAAGCACCCGAATGGAGTGATGAAAGCTGTTTTGATTTCGTCAGATCCATACAGACGGATCTGATGATACCCGGAATAAGCGTCTAAAAAAGACAATCTCTCGCATCCCGCAGTCGAGTCGACAATTTGGTCGATGCGAGGGAGAGGAAAATGATCTTTTGGGCAGGCCCGATTGATATGTTTGAAATCAATGCACATGCGAAGTGAGTTGTCCTTCTTGGGAACCATGACGACATTGGCGAGCCACTCGGAGTGGTATATCTCTCGGATAAACTCTTCTGCAAGGAGTCGAGCCACCTCCTCGCCAATGGCTTTTTTCTTCTGAACGGCGGACCGTCGAAGATGTTCTTTAACAGGTTTCGCTTTTGAGTCGACTCTAAGGCGATGCTCAGCCAGCCCCCTGGGAACACCCGGCATGTCAGATGGCTTCCATGCAGAGATGTCCCAGTTCTCACGGAGGAACTGGATGAGCGCTTCTTCCTATTTAGAGTCGAGTGTTATGGAAATATGGGTCGGAGCCGCATTGGGGTCAGTTGGGTGGATATGAACTGGCTTCGTCTCCCCAGACAACTGGAACGCTGACTCTGTGGCGGGCTTCTTGGCCCGCAACAAATCACTCGGATCTGCATTTTTCTTGTATCCTTCCAGCTCTACCACTGTTATCTGGGCATCCGTAATCTTCGAGCCTTTCTGGAAACACTCTTCTGCCTTCTTCCGGCTGCCAGTGATAGTGATCACGCCTTTGGGGCCAGGCATCTTTAATTTGAGGTACACATAACATGGTCGAGCCATGAAGCGGGCATAGGCTGGTCTTCCCAAAATAGCGTGGTAAGCGCTCTGAAAATCCATGACTTCAAATGTCAGCTTCTTTTGGCGGAAATGCTTCGAGTCGCCGAACACTACATCCAGAGCTATTTGACCGAGTGACTCAACCTTCTTTCCAGGAATGACTCCGTGAAAACTCATGTTGCTGGAGCTGAGCCTGGACATCGGAATGCCCATTCCCTTGAGCATCTCTGCATACAGTATATTCAACCCACTGCCGCCATCCATCAATACCTTCGTCAGTCGAGTGCCTTCGACGATTGGGTCGACCACCAGCGCTTGCCTCCCAGGGGTGGCAATGTGAGTAGGGTGATCGGACTGGTCGAACGTAATGGGAGTTTGCGACCATTTCAGATAGCTTGGTGTCGCCGGGGCGACCATATTTACCTCTCGGTTGATCACTTTCAGTCGACTTTTGCTCTCTACATCAGCAAAAATCATCAGGGTGGAATTGACATGAGGGTACCCTCCATCACTGTCCTCCTTGTCCTCGGCCTTGTCCGACTCCTTCTCTTTGTCCTTGGGCTGTTTTCCTTGAAACTGCTGGATTAAGAGCCGACACTGGCCAGTGGTATGTTTCGGGTAGATAAAGTTACCCTCTTCGTCTTTCTTCATGTAGATGTGACACGGTAGATCCATCACGTCATTTCCTTCTTTATCGTTTACCTTCTTGGGGTTCCAAGATCCTTTGGGCTTCCCTTTGAATTTGCCCTGAGTCACGGCCAGAGCCTCTCCAGGAGCAGCTGGCTCGGCCTTCCACTTTTGCTTCCGACTGGAGTTTCCTTTTTTCGATTGACTCGGCTTATACTTGCCACTCCGGAGCCCGTCCTCTTCTTCACCGTTAGCGTATTTGGTGGCAATCTCCATCATTCGACTCAGGGTCATATCTCTGGTTCGACCAAACTTCAGGCTCAACTCTCTGTTCTTGACACCATCCTTGAAGGCGCAGACCGCTTGATGGTCCGACACATTCTCCACGGTATGACGCAAAGTGATCCATCTCTGGATGTAATCTCTCGATGTTTCACTCGACTTTTGTACGCAGACTTGCAGCTCTGTCAATCCGGCTGGTCGCTTGCAAGTTCCCTCGAACGTCCTGACAAACACTCGGGAAAGATCTTCCCGGGTGTAAATGCTGCTAGGAGCTAACTGATTCAACCACGCCCTGGCCGAACCCTCTAGCATGAGTGGCAAATGCTTCATGGCCACCTCATCATTACCACCACCAATCTGTACCGCCACTCGGTAGTCTTCAAGCCAAGTTTCATGTCTGGACTCTCCGGTGAACTTACTTACCCCAGTCGCCAACCTGAAGTTGGGGGGTATCACTGCGGCTCTGATGGCTCTGCTAAAGCATTCTGGACCTGAAACATGGACTCGGCTGCTAGTGGGCACATCTCTGTCATGGCCACCTCTATGAGCTCTGTTCCGATCGACCAAACCTTGCATGATGATGGATCTCGCGTCAAAGCCTGGTTCTCTGGGGTCGACCGGAGCTCTCCGCCCAACACTGAGCTGGCGCCTGTCATCTTGCTGCCGATGGGCGTTAGACCCACTTCTCGAGGGAGGAGTGGGCACTCGACGCTTATCATCACGATCAAATCGGTCATCATAGTGGTCCCGCCGGCCTTCACGTCCCACGCGCCTCGGAGGTGACCTTGGGCTGTGAGCCGAGTGAACAGTATTCGCAGCGACGGATCGACTGTGAATCCTGTTGCGCGACTGTGACACAACTGAATTCTGATCTCCTGCCGCCCAGAGCAAATCCCTGATCTGCATCAAGCCTCTTCCAGCCTCCGACTGAGAGGGCTGAATTGACTCCGCTATACGGGCTGCAGCTACCAAATTCTGAATCGGGGTTCGATATATCTGAGTCGGTTGCGGAAAGAGCTGACGTCGGCTGGAGTCAGGTACTCGTTGACGCGCACGCTCGTCGAGTGCTCACTGGAGGTTCTCCAGTCGAGTGCGTTCAGCCAAGTTGGCCAATCGCGCCTCTTCCAAGGCACGAGCCTCAGGAGTTTCTCCTGCGATGGGAGTATGCAGGGCATCCATGTTCCGGCGGCGAAGATCTTCTCTTTGCTGAGAAGTGAGTGGCTCGGGCTGATATTCTTCGTGGGCCTGAGCGGGGTCGCCTCCATAGTCCATCCCGTCGATGCGGGGGAAACCGGGAGGGCTACGAGGCCCGTTGACCATCAGGACCTCCGCCGCTGGATCACTGCTGTCGCACTCGGATGCAGTCTCTACGGAGCCAGTCGACAGATCGAACAGGCCGTAGAGAGATTCGTCGGGCTCAATTGCCGCGACTTGGGTGGTGGCCGATTGGCGAGCCACTGCGTGTCTCACCCGTCGCTGAAGCCTCGACCGACCGGAGCGCTTGCGCTGGCGGGAGACAGGGAGGGAGGAGGGCACAGGAGTCGACCGGTATGGGGTCGACGGCTGCCGCAGCAGGACGCCGCGGACACACGCCCGAAAGTGAGTCGCCCCGCGGACGGGGAGCGCGTCGATGTCGAGTGGTGCCTCCTGGAGCCAAGCGGAGTCGTCGGCGATGAAAGCGAGCGCACCGAGACGGATCTCGCGGCCCTCGACCAGAGCTCCGCCAGAAACCATGATGAAGGCAATGAACAAATTGCAACTTCTCCAAAAAGTCGCTAAGACACCGGCCCCACGGTGGGCGCCAACTGTCGTGGTCCTAAGTCTGACAGTAGAATGGGGGGTAGGTATGGAGAGGCAAGATCCTAGCTATAGAGTAGTTGTATACGCAAGGGATTTACGAGTTCAGGCCCTTCTCGGAGGAAGTAACAGCCCTACGTCTCGGAGCCCGGAGGCGGTCGACTGGATTACGTGCGTATGAGTTACAGGGGTGCGAACCCTTTACACTGAGGAGGGGGTGGCTTATATAGAGTTCGCCAGACCCCTCCGGCCCTCAGTTATGCAGGGTTTAAAGTACATTAAGACAGGGGTTACTGGTAACGCCCTCATAAAGTGCCATGAAGACTATTAAAGCTACTTAATGACAGACCGTTGCGTGCTGAGTGACTTTAGGTCTCCTGGCCATCGAGTGGTTAGCTTCATGGTCGAGTGGCTAGCTTCATCATCGAGTGTCCTTGAGTTCGTCGAGTGAAGTCCCTCTTGGTCGACTGGAAGGTAGCTTCTTCTAAGGATGTACTTGGGTAGGGTATCCTAGATAGGTCCATGACCCTACCCTAGGTACATAACTTCATCACTCCCGACGGCGGGAACCTGCCTCTGTGACACTTCTGCCATGGTTTCGCCGGAGAGTCGTCGCGGAATCACCTTTGCGTCACCCCAGCTGCCACAAAGATGCGAAAAATGGAGTAGAATGCGAGGTGGATGAAGTGAAGGCAACTGAGTGATTAAAACATATTCGTGCTGAAATAATCGCGAGGTGGCGATCGTGCGAGAGGCTGTTCGGGCCCGCTGTATGATGATGCAACGCCCGACTCAGGAAATTGTTGCAATAAGATTCGTGCAGTCAAAATGTACGTAAATAACTGCGTTTGGACCAAATTTGGCACTTATCATTTTGGATAAAAATAAAAAAAGCGGTGTGTGTTCTGCAGCTTAGATTAGATTGGGCCCGGTTTTATGAAAAACCGATACGCGCCGGTGGACTCGTGGGTCTTCTTCTCTGCAGCCTTAAACCCCCACGCGCCCGCCGCCTCCTCCCCTCTCCCCTCCCTCTCTAGGGTTTTACCCTTCCCGCCGAAAGCCGAACGCCGCCGCCACTCGTCGGAGCCCTACTCCTTCGTGCCATACCCCAGCGCACGGTATCTCTCCTCGGGCATGCCGACGGCGGCCGGGAAATCGTCCGCCGCCGCGGCGGCGGCGGCGGCGGGTAAGGAGGAGGACTACGCGACGCTGCGGGAGCTGTACCGGCCGCACATCGAGTCGTTCGACTACTTCCTCGACGAGGGGCTCGACAAGATGCTCCTCTCCATCCGCCCCATGGAGATCACCCACCCCTCCTCCAACGCTACCCTCAGAAATATCCTTTGTGCTTCACTTCGTTTTGTTTTCTTCACTCGCCCAGAAAAATGTTTATTTTACGGATTTATGCTTTGTTCGTCATTGCACTTGCTATGTTAGCTATAGGATTTTAGCAATCGCGACTTGGAGCAAGTAGTACCCGCTATCAGTGTCCAATTTCCCGTTGCTTGCCTGGTTAGCAGCTGTTGCAGGACAGTCACTTTCATCTGTATTCAGAGCAGAAAGTGAACAAAAAGACATAGTGGTAGATTTTTTTCTGGAGCACAACACCAGTATTTCTGGTCGCAGGCCCCCTTTTTTTTATGTGGATTTGCATTTGTTACCCACCCCAGTGGACTGTAGCTAAGTTAATATATGCTTTAGGATAAGAACTCGGAGAGTCATTCTAAATAGTACTTGGTGCCAACTCAGAACTACTAAAGTACACATTAAGCTTTCGTCTATTGCTTCTTTGGATGCGGATACTTAATTACCATGAAACCAATTAATTTCCAGTACAGTTTATAAGGCATGCTAAATTAACGGATACTTGGATATCACAGTGAATGATGCATAAAACAGCATGGTTAATGCTCTCCTTTTGTCTTCTCCTTAACAATTGTCTGTACTGTCCTTAGAGAAGGGTCATGTGCTCCCACCGATGAAGGATGGTCGGTTGGAACAACCGCTCTACCCGCAAGAGGTTTATATATTTCCTTTCCTCGCAATATTTTATCCATTTTTATCTTAAGCATTGACACATATAAATATATCATAGTCCGTACTGATTTGCTATGTTATTGGAGTTTACTTTGTAAATGTATACTGGTGTTTGTAGGTCTGACTCATTTTTCCCATTTTCATTTTGTCGGAGCAGTGCAGGCAAGGTAGAATTTCATATAGTGGCGAATTCAAAGTGGAGGCTGTCTTCCAATTTAATGATGGGGCGCCAATCAGACAAACCTTCAATTTTGGTCATTTGCCGATTATGTTGATGGTTGTTACCTATTCTTGACTACTCTTCTAATTTCACTTTTTGATTCATGTGCTGAAGTAATTTCCTTTGCTCTTGGTACTCCCTCCATTCCAATGAATAAGACGCGCACACATTCTTAAATCAAACATTGACCATAAATTAGACCAATAATACATATTTTGTGACTTAAAGATCATACCTTGAAAACTTCTTTCGAATATGAATTCAACAGTATAAATTTGGTCACATATAACCCACATCTGGCTGGTCTAATTTATGGTGAAAGTTCAATTTTGAAATGCATGCATGCCTTATTCATTGGAATGGAGGGAGTAGATGTTATGTTAGGAACCTATAATTTGCAAGTTTGAAAGACAAGTAACCCAAGTTGCTTTGGTACTTCGTCTATTGTACTGCGGTCAACATGTCAGTATGCATTGTGTGTCTTTTTGAGCTTGGCCTTCTATGGTCTACTTCGTCTATCGTACTGCGGTCAACATATCAGTGTGCATTGTGTGTCTTTTTGAGCTTGGCCTTCTATGATCCCACATATGTTCCCACATAAGTTCAACAGTTGCAAACCGAACTAGCAAGTCAGGAGTTCCTCCCAACATTTGGCCTTAAATACTCCTCAAAATAGCCATTACTATATTATAAGCTCAGAGCTCAGTTGGTCGCAAGTGATTAAAATGTCCACGTTATGCCGTGAAGTTTGTTATGTTGTCTCATTTGAAGTAAGCTCTGATCATCCACGTGCCAGAACCTTGACTAGGTTTCGAGATGTTATGGCTTTCAACTATAGCCTACCCCTACTTGTTTGTGACTAAAAGGCTTTGTTGTTGTGGGTTCTTGTGACAACTGTTATGCATTTATCTTATTCTTCAGACAGATGAAAAATAACATACTGTACAATAGTATAAAATTAGGAGTTATTTGTCTTACAACTGGTGTAATTACACCCACGTATCGTGCACAAATATCTAGTGTAAAGGGAGTATGTAGCTGTAGTTTGGGAGTGTATAAGGTTTATGTAGGTAGTATATATACTAGTACTTCTTTATGCCAGTGTAAAGAACTGTTGTTGCTGCTTAATATCTTTTTAACTATTTATTTATGGGTGCTAAATTATTTTGTTTCAACCTGCATTCATTGATTCTTTTCCCTGACTTTATGCTCTTGCTATTCCAGTCAAAACTTTGCCACCTAAGAGGTGCTGATCCACGTAAATTGATCTACCACGGTGAAGAGGCCACAGAAATGGGCGGGTGAGTTTGTTATGTACTTGCATGTTCATTTACTTTCCCCTTTCAGTTTACATTCCCTTTTCTGTGTTGTCAACTCCTTCCTCTACCTGTCATCTTTGGCTTGTTTGAAAATCAAATAATAAGATATTGTACGGACTGCATGCACTAGTGTGTTTTATACTTCTTCTCTGGGGCAGGCAACTGCACTACCAAATGGAACTCTTCAACTTTGTTGAAGTTGTGTTCTCATCTTTGCACCGTTCCAAGGCTTATAATTTTTTCTAATAGCAACGTACTTGTGGTAAATAAAAATGATTTTTGTATTTAGTACAGCGTCAAACTATTCATACTTCTTTGTTGGTCCTGAATTATGCTGTTCACATTGTTCCCTCTTTTTATTATTTCACTATTATGATGCATGTTCTATTTTCTTTTAGGTACTTTATAAGTGGTGGCTTGGAGAGACTTATCCGAATTCTTATTTTACAGAAGCGTAATTATGTAAGGCAGGCACACCATTGCTTGGAGCTTTATATCAGTAGGCTACTATTGTTAGATAAAAAAAAGTAGACAACATCATTTCTGATGAGGAATTTGCTATGTCAATTTTCAGCCTATGGGCATGGTCCGTGGTGCTTTTATTAAACGTGGTGCGGGATACACTGACAAAGCAGTGGTGATGAGGTATTGTCTGCTTGCTTCTTTAAGTTTCCAACTGCTTATATACTTTCTGCTTATACTAGATGGTCACGGCAGACTAACTTTAAAGCATTAAAATACAAATAAGCTGTCCATTACTACAATATAACTGTATATTGCACACAGAACTGGATGATGATTGGAAACAGCTTGACATCTCTTATATCTGGATCACATTATAGTTTGGGAGTCCATCACTGCACTGGAAAGAAATAGGGGTGATGCTATCAACTTGAGATCATGGTATCTTTGGTTGTTTGCCACTTAATGGGAAATGGACATGATTTCTGCCTGACATTTTCTTCAAGATCTACCTTTTCGTGTCCAGACCAGCTGGATGCAAAACCTGCACCCTGTTCTTTTTTGAGATGCTTTATATTTTATAACTTTAAAGTTTCAAGCTGTCACTTGAATTAGGGATTATAGGATGAGCATCACCTTAAGCTGACATGTGGCAGCAGAAATGTATGGATTCACTGTGAGATACCACTATACAATAACTTGTTCATAGTTTCCACCATTGAGATGGACTATGGTTTAGAACTCGGAAAGTTTGCTGGAAAGTTGTCACCAAGTTTTGTTTCAGCGTGTCTCTTGTACACAAGCACTAGTAAGCGCTAATGGGATGGTGGGGACAAAATACTGGACAGGGCCGTGTTTTTACTGACTTAAAGTCCCTCCACCTTCTCTTACATATCTTTGTTTTTCTAAAACCTCGTTTTAACCAGGGTTGGGCACTTATTAAAAAAATTGGACACTGAAGAGATAAAAAGATCTTTTGTCTGGTTTTCTGTATATTAAGCAGAAACCTCGGATGGATGAGGTGTCTATATTAAGCATCAAGTTTCTTCTGTATGCTTTTACTGTGTTACTTGCTGTTGCCATTTATTTTTCCTCCAACAGATGTGTTCACCACGACCAGTCCAGCGTGACTGTAAAGTTGTATTACCTACAAAATGGAAGTGCAAGGCTAGGGTTTTGGTAAGTTTGTGTTGGTACATAGCGAGTCGAAGAGGAGGAAGGTTTTTCCCCCAAATTGACCTTTTTGAATTTGTGGTCAAAATAGGTTTGCAGGCAGAGAAATTCTCCTTCCAGTTGGGATTGTTCTCAAGGTAGAATACTATCATCATTTGCTGATGCTTACCATTTCATAACTAGAATTATAATCCATCAACGCTCATTTTGTGTACAGTGCCATGGTTTATGTGAGTAAAAACACCACCTGTTTACTTTCATCTCCATTTCTTCATCGTAGATCCCCGGGTCAGGCATTGTACTCCCTCCAATTTGAACTAAAACCACGACAAGTAATTTGGAACGGAGGGAGTATTACGTTGAGGGCCTCTTTGATTCGCAGGATTCTAGAAACACGGAAATAGAAAAAACATATGATTGGAACGGCGTGGTCATCTCAATCCTACAGGATTTTGGGTTGTTTGATTGCATCATAGTTAAAACAAAGGATTCTTTTGAAGAGGTTTGAGTGGGTACTATAGAAATCCTATGGAAAGTAGTACAAAGAAATCCTTAGGAAAAACTCCTATAGGATTCAATCCTATGAATCAAACAACCAATATAGGAAAAAATCCTAAGGATTCTAATCCTCCAAAATTCCTATGAAAATCCTTTCAATCAAAGGAGTCCTGAAAGTACCTAGAATGTTGGACATTTGCTGTGTTCCAGTTTGTTAAGCTGTGTTCTATTAATGATTCTTAACATCATGAACTGATTCTATGCTGTAAATCACTATTCAGCTTATTTTAATAGTTCCATTCTCATCGTTTGCAAAGCTAAGTATCCTTTGGTTTAAATAGGTACTGTGCCCCTTTTGTATTAGTATTTAGCTTTTTACCGGGTTATCAAATGATCATGCTTTTATCTTATAGATAATACATCCAGGGTACGTTCACAGTATCCTTACCATTGGTTCAAGTACACTGCCTTTACTGGATTTTGGATTTATCAATGCAGGCCCTTATTGATACAAGTGACCGGGAAATATTTGCAAGCCTGACATGCTGCTACAGTGATAAACGTGAAAGAGGAAAGGGAGTTGTCAGCACTCAGCTAATTGGTGAAAGGACACAAATAATTCTTGACGAAGTCAGAGCTCTGTCCCTTTTCACGCGCACGCAATGCTTAGTGCATATTGGTACTTTTTGGTAGTTTGATATATTTATTTTGCATTATAGTATCTTCAAGCCCTCTTATTTGTTGACATCGTTAATGATCTCTCAAATGCAGGCAAGTACTTTCGATCTGCAATGGAAGGTTTTGAAAAAGATGATTATGAAACCGTGAGTGTTTTCTTTGTTTTTGTTTGCATGTGTTAATATTTGGATCTTTCTTCACTTTGGCCATTCCACACTGTTTAGGTTGCTGAGGCGGTTATCAAGGACTATATTCTCGTGCATCTGCAAAATGACAACCACGCAAAGTTTAATCTTTTAATGTGAGTTAATTTTTTTGTTACCATATCATGAAATTTCTGTCCTTTCGACTACTTTTAACCACGTGTGTTTCTTTCTTTTTCTTGCATTAGATTTATGCTGCAGAAACTTTATGCTCTTGTTGATCAAACTACGTCACCTGATAATCCTGACGCACTTCAATTTCAAGAAGCACTCTTGCCTGGGCACCTGATCACAGTTTTTCTTAAGGTTACGGAGATTCCCTTGTTTATTTCTTTTGGAAAAGCGGTTCTATAGAACTACTCCCTCCGTCCCATAATATAAGAGCCTTTCGGACACCACACTAGTGTAAAAAACGCTCTTATATTATGGGACAGAGGGAGTATAACAGTGCACCGTTGCGATGTTCTAAATTACTATTTTATTCTTCTTCGTCACTCCACATTTGCAATGGTATTTTATTTGTCTACCGTGATGTTGAATTTATTTCAACATCGCTCCCTATATAAATACAATATTGAGAAAATAGACTGGAATTTTTTTCTCAGAAGGTGCAAACAAGCATATTTTGCACATCCTTCATTAAGAGGAGGAGCAAAACCATATTTACCAGAGTTTAGAGGTCCATACTTGCGTCTCACATGCCCATAACAACACTTTTATACAACACAAAAGTGTTACACATGATTTATGTTGTTGTTTTGGTGTGTCTTATGTTGATGTTAGTGCCATTAATTCCTTGGGGCAATTTTTGATTCTTCTATCTCCCATATTTCTTGAAGTTTTCTTTTATATCTGCAGGATAGGATTCAAGATTGGTTGCAAAAGTCTAAGCGTTTAATTATGGAAGAGATTACGAAGAATAAAAGCTTTGAACTCAATAACTGTATGTTTATTCTACTCAAGTTTTATACCAAAAAGCATTAGTTTATGTGTATATGCCTGCATTTTTTTTCCACATGAGGATCTAATTGCTGATCGTATGGTTCCATAACACTTGGATCTGTGTAGAAGTGTACCATAGTTATTTTGATCTCTTGGAATATCAAGATCCTGTCGTGATAATATATAGGTTGATATATGAAACATTTTTAGAATTATAAATTTATTTTATTTACTGGTTACAATATGAAGCATGTGTTGTGTGCACTTAATTTAGTTTGGTTCATTTCCGAGATTCTTCTTTCGGTTCTTTTTCAGAGGAGTACAACGAATTACTGATGCATTAATGATCATGCAATAACAAGCAGACCTTGCCTGACACACTCGCCCAACTAGCTCTCTTAAGGGAAGTGTGATCTGCTGCAAGTATCCTAATTCTCTGGAGTTGTGCTCTGAGGTGAAACCATACAATTCATTGACCAATATCTAGAATAATGTTTAACCGGACCACGAAAATAACCATTTCAGAGGGCTGGGATAGCAACTGGAATTTGCACTCACAGGCTCACAGCTATAAATAATACTCCCTCCATTAAAGAATATAAGGTGTATCAATTTTTTGTGCAAGTCAAACATTTGTATGTTTGACAAAGATTAGAGAATAAAACATCAACATCTGCAACTAATAGATAAACTATGAAAATACTTTTCATGATGGATCAAATGATATAAATTGGGTATTGTAGATATTGATATATTTTTCTAGAAACTTGGTCAAACATGCACATGTTTGACTTTTGAAAAAACTAATTACACCTTATATGTTGGATTGGAGGGTGTGTTGCATATCCGTGCATTGTTTAAGTATATTCAGTTCAAGATCTCATGGTGATGCTTGCTTGAACTCTGTAATGAGGATCTCTAGTTAGCTTCAAGTTATTGAGAGATAATCTAATACTATTTCTCGTGAGTATATAAAATGCCATGGAGATAACTTCAGGGTAACACAAGCATGTGAATTCTGTCTTCACTCTTTTATCCCTTCTGTTGAAATATGATTGGTATGGAGAAGAGAATCTTCCCTTTAGTCAATTGGTAGCTGCTTTATAGACCAAATCGACAAATTTATCATGTACCTTCTCCGTGGTACCGAGAAGTCCTATTTTGGAAGGCCGGGGAATCTGGATTTGAGTGTAGGCGGGGCATTTTTTAATTAGGACATATCACAATTTATAAATCACTAATGCATGCACTAAAATCGTGAAATGGCCCCAGCTTATAAAATATTGTTAAGGATGTGTGCCGACATGGTGATGTACTTTGGATTTGGATCCTAGGGCTTAAAGGAGATGAACGCTGTTGTATGTTTTGGTTATTCTGACCAGTTAGATAATAGCACAAGCCAGACAAGCTGAACACCGAATAATGATGTAGCATGATTGCACTCAGCAAACAAAAAACCAGCTCAATAAAGCAGTCTAAATTGGCCAGATTTGGGTCAATTGGTGTTCATTTCTGTTAAGAGTATGTAATGGGCCTAATGGGCCCGTTAGTCTTAGGGTTAATTAGAGATAAGGGTAGCTTGCTTAGGGGTCAAGTAAGCCTTGCTTGGGAGTCAAGTAAACCTCTCTATATAAAGAGAGGAGATGTATCAATCTAATCAAGCAAGAATTAAGAAGGAAATCCTTTCCCTCTTGCCCGGCCGTGGGCAGAAAGGCCCCCGGCCGGCCCTCTCGCGCCCTCCTAGCAGCGCCATAACAATTTGGTATCAGCTAGCTTCTAGCACCGCCGCCAAACCCGTCTCTTCCGCTGCCGGTCGCCTCCGGCGACCACCACGACCGTCGCCGGGCCGCTGCAGCTGCCATCCATCGCCACCACCGCCCAGCCCTGGCTGCAGTGGCAGCCGCCGCGCCCGGCGCTCCGCCGCAGCAGCCGCTGCCCGGCGCGACACCGCAGCTGCCGCTGCAGCTGCAGCAGCCACCGCCGGTCAGCTCCGCCGCCCAGTATGGGATGCCGTACGACGGGACTGCGACGACCTCGTTCCCATCAGCGCCGCCGCCATCCCAGGGCGTCCACATCCAGCAGATCAAGTCCCCGCCATCGTCGTCACCGCTTCCGTCTTGGATCGCTACCCGCCACATGTCGGCGGCGGTGAGGCTGCAGGCTGCTACGCGCGGCCTCCTAGCGCGTCGGCGTGTGCGGGAGATGCGTGGTCTGCAGCTGCCGCTCCTCCAAGTTGCCCTTCGCTGTGGAAAGGACCTTGATCTCGTCCGCTGCGTCGGGGATCTTGGGCATGCGGTTTCCCCCACGGGCGGCGGGCATGCTGTTTTCCCCGCAGGCAGTGACCTCAAAGTCTGCGACATCGGTGGTTGGGGGTGGGGGGGGGGGTGGGGGGCGCACCCCTCCTCGTCATTCTCCATCGCAAGCCCTCCACTCTTCCGTGTGCGGTGCAGACCAACAGCTGTCCGGCAGGGAGAAGGCATGGTGTCACCGACTGGAGCGCACCGCGTAGCACCACTGCATTCCGCCAGCGGCCGCCGCGAGGGCGCCTCTGCTGTTCACTCTTGCGACCACTTCCAGGTGGCCATACACATGGACTCCTTTTGCCCAGGTGGTGTCCATGGGATCCAGGTGGCTGTACACGTGCATGTCCGACGTGCGGATGGTGTCCACTTTTTGTTAAGGGGTCCAAAATAAAGCGTCCCAGTCCATTTCAGGTTGAGAATAATAAAGCAAGCCGAGATGTAAAAGGCTTGTTTTTAGGTGTTAGGTTTGTGTTGCGTCGAGTCATGGTTATAACTTGGTTAGGCTGCAGCTCGAGGACAAGCTGCATGTCCAGGTGGGGTGTAGTGTTAGAGTACGTAATGGGCCTAATGGGCCCGTTAGTCTTAGGGTTAATTAGAGATAAGGGTCGCTTGCTTAGGGGTCAAGTAAGCCTTGCTTGGGAGTCAAGTAAACCTCTCTATATAAAGAGAGGAGATGGTATCAATCTAACCAAGCAAGAATTAAGAAGGAAATCCCTTCCCTCTTGCCCGGCCGTGGGCAGAAAGGCCCCCGGCTGGCCCTCTCGCGCCCTCCTTCTAGCAGCGCCATAACAATTTCTCTAGTATATTTACAATTACTCACCATTTAATGGCCCTTTTGCACCAGTTTTTAGGTTGAGATGTGGTTGTTGGATTTTGTTAGCTCTGAGTTATTTTTTCAGTACATTGGCATGTTTTATGTTTCACTAATCATATGTGTTGATTTGTGCAGCACTGGAGATTAGGAAATTTCTTAGTAAATATACAACATCTGTAGGCAGAGCTATTGAGACCTTGATAAAGGTTGGCAGAGCGAATTCACAATCAATGTTGGATCTTCCACAGGTGTGCCCCTTGGGATGCCTACTTCTTTGCTTAAAAAGAAAACGCAGCGCCTACTTCGTTTACTTAATTTATTATAGGACACATAATAGTTTTAGCTTGTAAGACATCATTTCCCTGGAATTTTATTGACACAATTGATTACTTTTCTTCTGATTATGAGAAAGACGGTACTTGACAAAGGTTATGAATTCTGATCCATTTTTCTGTTGGAATTTTGATGTCAATGCTGACGGCATCGATATTTTCCAAGCCGCTTCTGTTCTTATGTTGTCAGTGTTTATATGTTTATTCCATGCCACTTTGAGAAATAATATGCATTTCTTTGTTAAATTTCAGAGAGAAGGGATGACCATTCAAGCTGAGCGACTCAACTTTCATCGCTATATCTCACATTTTCGTTCTGTTCATAGGGGTTCTTCTTTTGCTAAAATGCGTACAACAACTGTTAGAAAGTTACTTCCAGAGTATGTGATCCTCACACGTTATTATATTATTGTTTTCTTGCATCCAACATTGCTTGTACTGAGAATTTCTATGTAGGTCCTGGGGTTTCCTGTGTCCAGTTCATACACCGGATGGAGAGCCTTGTGGCTTACTGAACCATATGACTTCCATATGCCGTAAGATACTCACAAGTTGTCATTCTTTTGGATTGAATTTTGTATCTTCTCTGTTGTCTTTGCCAACATGCGTGTGCAAAGCTTCTTGGGATTGGGAGTAGTGCTGCTAAGATTGTCAGCGTATTATACTTTTTACCATTAGTTAATCGTCGGTACTTCCAGGTATTTCATCCTGCTACAACTCAGAAGGGGCAATTAAAGATTTTCAGAAAATAAAGGATAAGCTTTTAGTTGAATTGGTTCGTGGTGGAATGATCCCATTGTTGCCGAAGATGGAGCATACTGGTCCCCCGGAGATCCTGCATGTCCATTTGGATGGATGCATTGTCGGTTCTATTGCTTCTGCTAAGATTGAGGAAGTAGTTAACTATCTTCGAAGATTAAAGCTACTGGCACACCCAGCGGTTTGTTCTCTTACATATTTGTAGTTTTTTTGTTTTTTTATGTGAGCGACATATTTTGTTGTAAAGCACTAACTCAGAGGATCATGTTTCAAATTTTGCATTAGACTCCGGAGGATTTAGAAGTGGGCTATGTTCCCTTAAGTCTTGGTGGGGCTTATCCTGGGCTCTATCTTTTTACAAGTCCTGCAAGATTTGTTCGACCAGTGAAAAATCTGGTTAGCCTACCTGATGGAGAGCCACGTATTGAGCTTATTGGACCATTTGAACAGGTCTCCTTTGATCAATTCTTTCAACCTCATATCAGTTCACTTGTCACTTATATTACGAGAACTGATTTTTAATTATATTTTAGGCATTTATGGAGATACGATGTCCTGATGGTGGGGACGGTGGGAGAAAAAAAGAGTTTCCTGCGACTCATGAAGAAATTCACCCTACTGCCATTCTCAGTGTAGTTGCAAATCTGACTCCTTGGTCTGATCACAACCAAAGTCCTCGGAACATGTACCAATGCCAGGTCAATAGTCTTATATTGCCTATGTGATGATCAATTGATCATGCATAATGATTAAATAAGGGCGAGGCTCTTCTCTTTTGGACTGACTAATCCTCCTGCCTATTCTCTGTAGATGGCAAAGCAAACTATGGGTTTTTGTGGCCAAGCTTTAAAATATCGTACAGATGTCAAGGCATTCCATCTACAGGTTTGTTTTGCCTGTTTCATATTCAAATGACCAGTGCATTCATGAGTTGTCTTTGTTTAAATTTTATACATGTATTATACTTGCTTAATCAGCTTTATATGTTTCTTAAGGAATTGATAATTTGAACTGCCTATGAGCATACATCTAAAGCCTGGGTTTTGTGAATTTGTAGCAGACAGTAATCAGATGTCACTAGGTAGAGCTATAATTTGGCTGTTTATTACTCTAGTGCATAACGTAATATTTGGTCATGTATCCGCACCAACTGTATCTCATCCAGGCCCCTGCAGAATTTGGTGATCCAGTGCCTTTCTAAAGCCTTCAATAGTTTTCTTAAAATATATGAAATAGTTGGTAAAAGTAGGTAGAGTAAAAATCACTCAGACTTCGGAGCTGCTCAAGTGGCTCGTTGTTCAAATACAGAATTAAGTTTTGTCGGGATTTCTTGTGACCAAGTTGAAGGGTTAATATTTTCCATGGATGACAGAAGGTTCATCTCTTTGTGAATGAGAATTTGCCATGAAAGAGCTAAAAAAGGAAAATTAAGCATGAACACACACAGCCTTCACGCGCCGCTCTACCAATATGATGTCATCTATCTGTCCCTATTATTACAATAGGATAGATTTCCGAGTAACTCTATTAATTTTTCTCTTGCTTACACTTCGTCTGCTCCCCTGCCCCTTCCCTGCATACACAATTAACACCACTTGTTGTAAACTATTGTCTCCTTATAAACCATCTTTATTGGCTTGCAGACTCCTCAGTCGCCAATTGTTCGAACAGCTACATATAAAAGATATCATATGGATGAATTTCCATCAGGAACAAATGCCATTGTTGCGGTGCTATCATATACAGGGTAAGCCTTCTATCATGCTACGGCAGTATGATTATTTGTGAAAATTTTCTGGACATGATAAATTGTTCTTGTAATCTAGTTATGACATGGAGGATGCCATGATTTTAAATAAATCAGCCGTTGACCGTGGGATGTTCCGTGGAGATATCTTCCAGGTAATTATGGCCTGGTGAGGCTGTGAGCTGTTCTGTTATCTACAAGAACTTCACTAGTCATGCATAAATTCATGCTGTCTAGTTTAGAACCTTTTCTTTCACACAATATCTATGGAGTTTCAAAGCATGCTTTATAGAGCCTAAACAGCTGTAGGCAGTTTTTGCTTTCCCCACCTTTCGCGAGGTATGGGATGTAGTATTTTTTTTTTCTATGACCAGTCAATGGTTCTCTCTGGCAACATATGAGTGGGATCGCCCTTTTAGTCCACTAACAAAGTCTACTTTAGTTGTGCCGCTATATACATAAGAAAAATTCTGATTTTCTCTGTGGAATGTTTGTCTGGCTCCCTTCTATAATTACAACCTCAGATTCGTCATGTGTTTGAAGAATCACAAATGATCAGTTTGCTGTGAATAGTAGCGTTTGTCCTTTGGTTTTCCTTTTTTCTCTGTTAATTTATCAGATTTCTCCCCTTTGAAGTAACATAGAATGAACTCCAAATTTTAGACATCATACAGTATACTCTGAAGAAAGTGGAACAAAATTACCACTCTCATTTCATCTTCTAGACTCTGAAAAACTAGAACATAAGTGCCGTACTCTTATTCCACCTTATTTTCAGTGTGAAAACGTGTAGAACTTGAAATTGTACATGTTGTATACACCTTATTTTCACTAAGAACAGTTGTAGTTTTCTTAGCATACACAGTGTATCTTGTTGTATGTTTATATTTAGATGAGCTACATCGAGATTATTTAATGCTATTTTAATTGCATATACAAATATATCGTAGGAGAATTCGAAAGTATGAGCCTTGACTTCTCAAAATTTTATAAGTACTTTTCTGCGAACTCTCCCTGCAGACAGAGTGCATTGACTTGTCAGCAAAAAGGACAGAAAATGTCCCAGAAATCTTTGCCAAAAGCCCTCTTTCGAGGGACTCGAACAATGTAATTGATTCAGATGGCCTTCCTCGGGTTGGAGAGGTAATGATCTATTTGTATGAATTAAGTCTTTCCCGTTTCAAGAGGAAGGAGAAGTGGTCAAGTTTCTTCTTATGGTATTGTCCTTACTCTGAGATGTATTTTCTGTGAACAGACAGTAGTTCCATATGAGCAGTACTACAGTATCTATAATACACTCACCGGTGCAATAAGGCCAGTCAGACTAAAGGGGACAGAGCCAGCAGCTATTGACTATGTTGCTCTCAACGGAACAAATTCAAAAGGTTCCCTGCAGAAGGTGAGTGCACCTCCACCTCAAGTTAAAAAAGCTGCTGCTTAAATTATTTCTAGGATTAGATTTTGTAAACCAATGGATTTCTCAAACGCTTGTATGACAGTGGCACTTTGTGTATGCTTAAATGCTACAAGAGGAAAAACTCTTAATTTCTCCAGACCACTTAAAACCTATGACTTCTTATGAACCAATGAACTTCAGTACTCCCTCTGATCCAAAACAAGCGTCGCAGTTTTGAACTAAGGTTAGTTCAACCTTAGTTCAAAATTGCGACACTTATTATGGATCGGTGGGAGTAGTATTTTGCAAAGTTCAAAAAAGCGCTAGGCGCTAATTATGCGTTTGGGCACCTACTTGCGCTTTTCTAGCTTAGGCGTGATTAGGCGAAATTAGGCGCAATTAGGCGTTAGTACTGTAACGTGAAGAAATAAGCTAGATGGGCTGGGCTAGCCCACTAAACCATAGGCCCATCCTCATATCCTCCTACTAAAAGCTCTCGTCTGCTGCAGTCGGTAGGAAATTTAGGTTTCCTCCTCACACCGCCTCCCCCCCTCGTCCTTTCTGTCTCGTTGCACGAGGCTGCCTCCCTCCCTCTTCCTCTGTCCCTTGTCGGAGAAGCTCGATCCCTCGCCGGAGAAGCTCAATCCCTCGCCGGAGAAGCTCGATTTGTCGTCGGGGCAGTTGAATCCCTCGTCGGCGAGGATGAATCCTCGCAGGGGAGGTCGAATCCTCGCCGGGGAGACTGATTTCTCACCTCAGAAAGCTGATTCCTCGCCGGAGAGGCTGATTTCTCGCCGGAGGACCTCGCCGGCCGCTTTTTTGAGCGCCTAGGGCCAAAGCGAGGCGCTATGCCAACGCCCAGCGCTTAAGCGCGCCTAGGCGAGCGCCTAATAGCGCCTTCTTGAACAGTGGTATTTTGTACATTGAATTTCTCAAATGCTTACATGGAAATAGTTTCTGAGAAGTGTTCAGAGTTGTTTTTTCTTATCTCGCTGCTTTTCTCCTTTATGTGTTTATCAGGTAAATATTCGTCTGCGTCGCAAGAGGAATCCTATAATTGGTGACAAGTTCAGCAGTAGACATGGGCAAAAGGGAGTTTGTTCACAGTTGTGGCCTGACATTGATATGCCGTTCTCTGCAAATACCGGCATGAGGCCAGATCTCATCATTAATCCTCATGCTTTTCCTTCAAGAATGACAATTGCAATGCTTATAGAGTCCATAGCAGCAAAGGTGATATTTGCTTTGTGTTCTTAGATTGAGATAACCCAATATCGTATTGCATGTTTAAATAAATAACAACTGGGTTAATCCATAGGGAAAAGGAATTGCTAAAATCAAGTAGAACTGATGCCACATAAGCTTTGCTTTTCATATCTAAATTATTCCCCTCCTGATACGCACAAAACTATAGAATGAGCTTGGTGTATTGATGTACCTTCTATAATGATAATGCTTGGCATATTTGGTGCTTTGAATTATTATGTATCCCTGCAGGCCTTGTGTTTTATCACTTACTCTGTGGCAACTTTAGCTTTTCATCTATTTGGACTTCCCTAAAGAAGAGTAATGCTTCTGTACCACCAAACTCGAAATTGCATCAATGCAGAAATAACCGTATTAATATTTGGGGTGATGGATTGTTTCTAATCAGGCCCTTGTTTTGCTGTGAAAATGCCCCTTCTTACTTTGAGACATTGAAACACTTTGAAATAAATTTTGTCGTTGTCAGTAAGAAAATCCACATGTCCTACAAAATTGTTGTTCTGATTTCTGATAGATTATTAAGAGAAGTACATATCTGATGCTGGGATTACTTTTTGTCTAAGAATAAACTTCGTATAATGATGGATAACATGTTAGCTTGACTATTTTACTAGAGAATGCGTCTTTGCACCTTCAGTGACTGACATTTGTCTCCATAGGCTGGAAGTGCACATGGGAAGTTCATTGATGCCACACCTTTTGCAAGCTCAGTCAAAGAGGACGGTGAAAATCGTTGTAAATTTGATTCTATTGTGGATGAACTAGGTCCCATGCTAGCATCTTATGGATTTAATCATCATGGAACCGAGGTCCTGTACAGTGGGCTTTTTGGCACCGAGCTTCAATTTGAGATTTTCATTGGGCCTGTTTACTACCAACGCCTTCGTCATATGGTCTCAGACAAATTTCAGGTGTGCAACTGTTTAATACTGAAAATAACACATGGTTCTCAAGCATAACCTGACAAGTGTTTACCTTCATAACGGTTTCGTTGCCATTCCTTTTGTAGACTGTCACTGACGTGCTATTTTTTTGTAGGTTCGCACCACAGGTCGTATAGACCAAGTAACGAAACAGCCAATAGGAGGAAGGAAACATGGTGGAGGGATTCGGTTCGGTGAGATGGAGCGTGACGCGCTCCTTGCTCACGGCGCTTCATATCTCTTGCACGACAGGCTCCATACCTGCTCGGACTATCACGTAGCGGACGTGTGCTCCCTTTGCGGGAGCCTCCTGTCGGCGACGGTAATAAACTCGGACACACAGAAGAAATCCAAGCGCCACATGCTGGGTGTCAACACGGTGAGGCCCGCGAAGAACTTTGCGTGCCAGGCCTGCCAGACAAACAAAGGGATGGAGACGGTGGCGATGCCGTACGTCTTCAGGTATCTAGCGGCCGAGCTGGCGGCTATGAACATAAAGCTGGATCTCCGGCTCAGCAACAGGAGAGAAGCTCCTCCCAGCAACGAATCTTGCTAGCAGGAACAAAGAAAGGAGAAGCATATGCAGGTCATTTTGAGTTAAGTGGAAAAAGAGTATCTATCTCGTCCCATTTTTGGATCTTGTTTAGAGGGGGAGATTTTGCGTGTTGTATTGTTGTATAAAAAACATCCAATGGATAATTTGAAGTATACATTCTTTGCCTTGTATCTGAAATGGTGAGTTATCATCCATCCAATGGCGAACAAATTTGCATGGCTATATCAGGCACGTATGAAAAGGGTGAAGGAGTAGAATGGTTTGCATTATATGTACTTCGTAACTAACGTCGGAGATTCTCCATTTTTTAGGTATGTTCCGCTTGGTCGAGCTGCTGTCTTGTTCCTGGCGTTGTACGAGCCCTGGTCCTTTGTCCTGGAGGTTTCAAAGCCGAGCTGAACCAGTACACCATGCCTAATATGCTTCGGGTTCCGGTGGTGTATCCGGAGAAAATTTTCTTGGTAGAACTTCACCAGGCAATTCATAGTTGCTTAGAGACATGCAAAGCAAGCTCTCCACCTACCCAGTCACACTGCTGACTACGTAGAATAGATGGCAAACTGTGCTTAATTTTTGGTACCAAAAAAGTTTCAAAAAAGGCACTGAAAACAAATGCTACACGTCCAGTCCTTGGACATCCGCTGGATACAGAAAAGGGGTGGCCTTTTCATGTTGTACAAGATCGTGAGTTTATTTGCGCGGTAATCGGTATGATATTACTGCACAAGCTGTTGTTTTTCCCGAAAGGAGGGGATCCCTGACCTCTGCACCGATTGGTGCACACAACCATTCATTTATTGCAGTATCGATTTCAGTACAAGCAAAGTATGCCCGGTATGAGCAAGCAAAAGACCAAAGGCCAAAATAATAATATTACATCAAGCACTTATGCACTGCTGATCCTATTATCAGGCAGCCAATCATATCGGTTGGAGATAACTCGTGCAACCATCTCCAGAAGACTGCACCCAAAATTCATCGCAGCCGCTGCTCCGCACACTGAAGTAATAACAACGTACGGATCCAGTGAATGGTGGAAACATGGATAACTTGAAAGAAATTGAAAACTCTGCACAAGCTGTTGTATGTTAATACTCTGAAGTGAGCAAAAATCCGTTTCCGAAGAAGGGTTTTATGTCATGCTTGCTTCAATATTCGAAATTCAATCTGCATTCGAGCATTGAAGTATTATGCCATTTATTATGCGTACTTGTTGTCGTGATTCATACGTTACACAATCTTGTGAGTACACAAGATTTTACAACCAGAGTACACAAAAGAAATATAAGGACGGTGCTTCTCATCCTTTTACATATCACATCCTTCTGCTACCAACAAGAGTACACAAAAGAAATATAAGGACGGTGCTTCTCATCCTTTTACATATTACATCCTTCTGCTACCAACATGAGTTTGTACCATGAGAGTACACTTGTAATGAGAAAGAGAGAGAGAGTTCCAAGCAGAACACGCTATAATCGAGGTTGATATTCCATGAGAACACACTGTGTGTTCCTCCCACATCCATCTTGCTTGTCTCGGATCATGAGTGCTCCAAACAACAGGACAATTGTCGCAAAAAGGAACAGTGGTGACAACCGCAGCTTCTCCGCCCAGCTAGGTGTGTATGTCACCGCGACATAAGAAAGGAAAACAAGATAGACGCACGCGAGGGCGATTGCTGTTTTCTGCAAAATCAAGAGAAATGTTCAAATTCTTGGGCATGTGAAATGGAGGAGGCATTGTACAGATCAGAATGCTTTCTAGATCTCTCCACGAGGCTAACCCTGAAGCCTGAACCATATATGATTCTAAGTAATCTGATACAGTAGCAGGCCGTGAAGACTCAGGAACAACAGATGCAATATACGAATATGAATTTATGATGAACTGCCATGATAGTAAGTATTTGATACGGAACAAAGGCCATATAAACAACATTTGTGCCTCATGCAACATACCATGGTTTCAGACGATTAAGCTTTAAACACAAGTTCCATTAAATCTGGTTCTACATGGAGATAGAAGAGGGTGTCTCCCGAATCGAAGCAGTTGATAATCCGCGGGGAGAAGAAAAAAAGTGAAGAAGCCCAAACCAGAGTAGAAAGATGGGTGTAGATAGACAGAGATGATGAGAGGCGTTACCATGCACCAAACTGAAATGATCTCGGAGATATCTCCCAGTCTCCAGGCCGCCGCCGGCTTCAACTTCCCTTGTCCCGCGCCACCGGAAGTCCGGCAGCCTTTCATCAGCAAAGGTTCCATCTCTTTTTCGTGTTCTTCGGGGAGGTGCAGAGGAATGGTCTGTGAATGATCCGTAGGAAGAAGAGACGGGTCCTTGTCCTCCATACAAGGCCCTTTGTTGCTGTAACCTGTGAAAGAAAAAAACAGAGATGTTCGGAATGCGGAAAGGGGCAGGGAATCAATTCAACGCAGAGCTATCATGGTGACGCACGGGATTACGTCCAAAGGTTGGATCTTCTACTCTGGAGCTGGGGGTATTGTGTGTTGTATCCTGTGAAGAAACTCAAACTTCCGCCATAAGAAATCTTCACGCGGGATATCTTGACGCGCTGTTGGACTGGTCCGACATACTTTTGACTTCCCAGCCAGCATGCGTACAACTTAAGCGGACGGATTTTCAACAAAGTGAGCCAATCGGGCCCGAACCTACGTTTGAGGGTGAGCTGGAAGAGAATATAACTTTAAGGAACTTTCGTCCAGAGCCATAGCGGGACACGCAAAGGGTAAATTAGGCACACAATACCCGCCTTCCGCGTGAACATATTTTCTTCGGCTAGCCATTTTACATCTTCTTTCATGCTTTGCTCCACAACACTACGCCCTGTCTAAACGTACGTGAGAGAGATCAAGGATTGCTGGCGGTGAACTCAGAACAAACAAAGGAGATGAACTCTGAACAAACAACGGAGGAGGGGAGCGTGGAGCTCACCCTCGGAAATAAAGAGAAGGTAAGTTGGTCCCAGTTATATCAAGCGTTGTTCAGTACTTCTTCTTGAGAGAAATAAAGGTAGTATGATCTATGGAAGCAAATCGCGAAATTATTGGTTTACAATCTGATATAGTAGTTTCTTTTTTCCTTCATGAGGGGGTTTGAGAATCAAGGGTAAACTCATGTCTTAAAAAATGATTTGCAGTTTGTATCCTCCTTGCTCGAGTTGGACGCCCAGAACCAGCTCTGGGTGGATAGGGTGTTACAAGAGACCGTTCCAGTAAGTTGGTCCCAATTATATGAAGCGTTGTTTATTTCTTTTTGAGAGAAGAAAAATACACTAGTATACCTTCTATGGAAGTAAATCACGAAATTATTGGTCTTTGATCTGATATATACTGTAGTTTCTTGTTTCCTTCACGAGGGGGTTTGAGAATCAAGGGTAATCTCATGTCTTGGTTATTATTGATTTGCAGAGCTTCAGGCAGCCCGAGCGGCTCCGCCACTGCTGTGAGCATCGAGTGTACGGAATGACATTGCTGCAGCAGACACGGGCTCAGGCTGCAGCACATTCTCGTCGTAACACCTTCGGGGCTGGATCCGGCCACATCAATGAAACCATGTCTGCGGAAGCTAGCAGCCCTGGAGGAGGCGATGGTCGACTTGGAGTTGAGTGGAACGATGAGACGCTGACGGCGCTGGCGCTGCGTTCCAGCACTCGAGCTATGAGAGAACATGGCGGCTCTCAAGGTTTTCTCGTCGATGAAGCGGGTGGCCGCTTTCTCGCTATTCACATTCACCCTCCGCAGCAGGGCGATCAAGGTTTAGTGAGAGGCGCACGAGGAGCACAAGTAAGCACACGATCTACTTAATTTCCAAATATGCAAATTGAGCAAATCAAATCAAACAAGCTGTTTCTCTTACTAGTTTTATTATGATTTCATTTATAGTGGGGTGAGAAAGTTACAGTTTTTTTTCCCAACAATGCACACTAGCAGGCGTCCAAGGAAACCCAACATGCATGAGCAGAAGGATAAGGGGATGCTCATCCCCGATAAAGCTCTGACTAGTTACAGGGATTAACTAATTTCCATTTCTTGCAGGATGGTCCCGGTGATCTTGCTCGGGACGCTCTGCCGTCGGTAATTGGAGGTCTTGTGCCCCTATGCTTCAACTTATTATTAGATGATAGTATCCTCAAGGCGGGCTACATCAAGGCTGCCGCTTACGCTGGGCTGGGGCTTGTGACTGCCTTCACGTTTCTTGGGCTCGCTTGCAAGAAGAGGGCCAAGGCTGCCGCCAGGGTGGTAGCCAGCGCGTCAACCGCCGCTGTGTCGATAGCCGTGGTGTATCAAGTTTCCGACAATGCCTACATCAAGTGTGTTTGCGGGATCATGGGGTGCGTCGCAACCTTGGCCACAATGGCCATCGACTGGTAACAACTCTTTTCCCTCACCTACATACTCCCTTTGTCTCAAAATTCTTGTCTTAAATTCGTTTAGATAGGGATGTATCTAATACTAAAACGTGACTTGATACATCCGTATTTAGACAAATCTAAGACAAGAATTTTCGGACGGAGGGAGTATAATATACCCCCTCCGTCCTGTTTTAGTCGACGCGGAGAATGATATTTCTTCTACTTATACCCACAAATAAAACTGAACATTCGTTACAAACGTTACTTTGTGTTCTGTTGATGGCTAATTGGCCTACCCTTATACCCACAAATTACAAAATGTTACCAGTGAATATTTATGTTTGGTTTCATGTGTAAATAACGTATTGTTTTTTCATTCGCAGGTGATTATACTCATGTGTGAATAATTTTCCTGCTGTCTATGCATCAACCAATGCAGAGCCACAGGAACCCTCAGCAAATTTTGTATGTCCACGTCGACAGGAAGTTCGGCACCTCGAATGCCCGGAGCGTTTACTGGAATGTCTAGGGCTATCATTGCATGAAATTTGTGTTGAGTACTGCTGCCAGGGACTAAAAATACCTGGTATTAGAGCATCTCCAGCCAATCGCCCCCCCCAAAGGCGT